GACAGAAAGTCGCAGGACAAAGGTTTAAATTAAATTATTTTACAATTGTTTAAATATATGAGTGAAAGTTCTTGACGAATTGACTTTATTTATAGATAAATGTATTTAGTTGAGGAAATGATTAATTCGCCTTCAAATAGTTTTTTTTATCAATAACTTATAAAAAGGAGACATTTTTGACAGCATGACTTCAGTTAATTACCAAACCACTTTGTCAGATTGTTTTCTTAACAATCATTGTTCATATTAATATTCAAAAATAAATTTTGTTTACAAGTCCGTTTCCTTTTAAAAATGTTTCAGAAAAATACTGAAACGTTTTTAAAATTTAGTTTATTCAAAGAAAAAAATATCCCAAAACTGAATCGTGACTTTTTACTTGTTACTTTTTGTTGTACGTTCTAAGTGTCAATCCTAGCAAACACAAATTTGGAAATAAAATCGATTACAATGTAATTTTATAGAAGGAAAAAGGGGGGGGGGGGGGGTTAATGAACAAATTATTACTATACACTCACATACTTCTAAAAAGATTTGCATATGTATATGTAAGCTGTCTATAGATAATGTTAAATTATTTCAGGAGTTTCAATTAATTTAGGAGAAAAAAAAGATTAAAAACAGTTTAGTTTTCAACGCCTACTACTACAAAAAATAGTGATTCTTTTTGTAGATTTGGTACTTCAACTCAAAATTTCGACTCAAAATTTCCTATTGTAATTGTTAGATGCCAAATATTTAGGAGAAGATTGTATTTGTACTTTATGTAATTGTGGTGATATTGGCGACGCGATTCATTATATTATAGCAAGGATTTGTAAAAATCCTTGATTATAGAATGTTCGGCAATAGACGAAAGTAGACAAACCCTATTTAAACGGGGTTTTGATCTCCAAGGACGCCACATTTGACATCGAATAAGATCTATATTTGTTAACGTTTTCAAATAAAATAACTTGAATTGAAAATTTCCCGACTATGTGAAGATTTCTTATATTTCTAAATGGCTTCAATTATTACATACAAAACGAAAAATTTATTTAACTTTTTTTGTAAAAACAATATTCATGTATTTTTATAATTTTTCCAAGGAAACGTTTTTTTTTTTTGTTGTTTGCAAAGTTTACTTGTATGTGTTTATAACCATCACCAATCAGTCCTAATTATTAAAGATCAAACGTCGTAATCAAAACGGTGCGTCTAAACACTGCTAAGGAGTCCTTAGTGCACTAAGGACTTATAATATGCCACTAAGGACTAGATGGGGTGCTGTTACATGTAATTTCTTTTCATATTATGGTAGATATTGATATTTAATGCATAAATTTCAAATTTTATAGAAAAATAATCACAAATAAATTAGTAATTAAGCATTGTTTAGGCACGTGCCTGTTTTTCTTTGATATGCCGAAAATGATGATTGGTATTGAATATGATCATCGGTCATGCATGACGTATCCCAAATAACTTCTTTAATGTTGGTTTGATTTTATCAAAACCAATATTATAAGATCAAATATTAAATTATCTATCGAATGTATACCCTCAACGCTCACCAAATCATAAAATTGAGAATGGAATATATACATGTCCTGGGTGACTTTTTATGTCCTGTCTGCACTCAGGAGGTCCTGAGCGGTTTTTAGGCGTACCGTTAATTTATAGGCATATATTTGAAGCTGTTCTTAATTATGTACATTATCTATAGGTATACATGTATCAGACAAAAAGACTTTCCACTTAGTTCTAGTTATCTTAGTTCCTAGTCACAGGCACTTGTCTCAGAAAAAAATTCCTATATACTTTTAATGTTATATTTTGCAGGGACTTTCTATACTAAGTTAGTATAGAAAGTCCCTGTATTAAGGTATATAGGAAACAAAATTCTGAGACAAGTGCCTGTGGTCCTAGTTTGAAATAAATCCACTTGGAAGTGGCCTTTTTAAACAAATCTATATATACGTTTTCTCAAGGGTTTGTACATGTAAAGTGAAATTATGTTTACTCAATGCGTAGTTACATAAGTTTATTTGCTACTTTTTTCTTCTTTATTTTATATAAATGATTTTAAATTTTAACATTTTTTTCTTCGAAAGAATTGTAGTGTTGCAATAGGGAATGGACACAGATACTTAACTACATTTAACGAAAAAATTTTGTGTAATGTCATCAATCTGTATTACACATAGACAGGATGTTCTCTAGAAAACTTGGATATTTCTAATACGTTATACACACCCCAGGGTACACGCACTGTCGTAATGGAAAATTACTGCATGCTTTAATTACCTGTAATCAGCCATGCAACAAATCAGTTGACTGACCATATCATTACAGTTTAAAAAGTTTTTCCTCAGATCAAAACGGAATTTTCATTTTAACTTTAAAACTTAAAACTTTAAAAAGTATACTTTGATATAATTATGACGTAAAAGAATTTAACAATTTAATAATCGGATTTTTCCAAAGATTAAGATACAATTACATTTATTATTCTGGGACTGACAGATATATCACAGGCACTTGTCTCAGAATTTTTTTCCTATATACTTTTATTAAAGTATATAGGATTTTTTTTTTAGACAAGTGCCTGTGAGATATATACATGCATAAGTCCCAGACATATATAATTGTAAATCAAAATGATTTACATAATTACTGGGAAATAATATTATGTTTCAGTTATGTTGATGTCACAAATACACATGAATTATTTGATTGATGCATGCTGGAATTTCTTATCTAACTGCATGACGGTGACCACAGACATATATATATATATCCATTTACTGATTCTATAATTTCTTGAGAAAAAAAATCAGGAGGGAAGTCAGAGGGGAGTGAAACAAACATTTTAAGCTTTTATTAAAAATTATTGGGAAAACAATAAAATACGACACTGAGTTTTGAAAAAAAAGTTTATGATTGGTCCAAATTTTTTATTTTCATAAAGATAGAAACAATTTTTTGTCCCAAGAAAAAAAAAACAATGCCCGCTTTTTAGCCAAACCGACACACGCCGATGAATGAAGAATTCCAAGTAGGGTCACAAGTAGTCCGAGATTACTCTGACGTCCAACGGCTGTTTTGCCAGACAAGCTGGGGCCGTGGGACGTCAGAGCTCGTCCCATATCAAAAAGTGGATATTTGCCCGTCCAAAATAGATGCGCTGCTTCGTCGCTTCTGGTGCCAACGGACGGCCTTGGAATTATATAAATCGGGTATCAATTTGTTCATTTTTCATTTATCTCTTCATTTATGTAAGTTTCACCTACCTGCCACCCTTTACTTTCTCATATTTAGACAGTTTTCACAATGACCCACCGATTCTGGCATTTTGACTTTCATTTTGAAAGATTGTCATGTGATCACGAGAAAAAAGTAAGGCACAATGGACTATGGGAAATGATGTATGCATATGACCCTAGGTCAATATGAATATATAATCTAATACCTCGCTCATTTGCGATGCAAGCAATGTAAATATCCGAGAGCTTCCGAATGGTTGGCACTAAATGCTTAATACCGATCTCCTGTAAAGGAGGTGAAAAATCGTGGTTGGCTACTAAATGTTAAATATCGATCTCCTATAAAGGAGGTGAAAAAAGTATAAATATTTGCATATTTGAGTCTCGAGGTCGCAAAATCTCTCGTAACTTGACGTCCATTTGAAAATAAATGTAAAAATGTCTGAATCGATGGGTCACTGTGAAAACTATCTAAATATGAGAAAATAAAGGGTGGCAGGTAGGTGAAACTTACATAAATGAAGAGATAAATGAAAAATGAACAAATTGATACCCGATTTATATAATTCCAAGGCCGTCCGTTGGCACCAGAAGCGACGAAGCAGCGCATCTATTTTGGACGGGCAAATATCCACTTTTTGATATGGGACGAGCTCTGACGTCCCACGGCCCCAGCTTGTCTGGCAAAACAGCCGTTGGACGTCAGAGTAATCTCGGACTAGGTCACAAGGTCACATTTTAAAACTTTTTCAGTCGCCCAGTCTCAAAAAACAATTTTGACTGGCATTGTTTTTAGTCGAATTATGTTTTTGCAGGTCAGGTTGCAAAGTGGCAGGTCGGATTTGACAATGTCAAGTTGACAACGGTCCTAAAAAATATCCGAAAAAACGTTGAATCAAACGATATGAACCTACGCAGTTTTATATTATAAGACTGACACACACCAGTGTGGTAACTGTGCTGGGTGAGGTGCTGTAGCTTGATATACATGTATCATTAAGTTACAGTACTGTTAGGATTTGCCAGCTGCCTTTTTACAGGGACTTTTTATACTAACTGTTAGTATAGACTGCCCCTGGCTTGAAAATATCTTGTAGCAGTATAATACCTCCGGGGGGGGGGGGGGGGGGGGGCACTTCAATACTTAATTGATAGGGGGTGTCGCTTGGGTTCTGTTACCCCACCCTATTCATATAATTTAGATCTTAAAAATGTATACCTTTTCATATATTGCGTCGGTAAAATTGTAACCTTTTCCCATATTGGTTGGTTTTCGTAGGGTGTGTTGGAAAAGTGGAATATTTAAGGCTAAGATTCTGTATGTAATGTTTACTTACGGCGAGACTTTCGGCTGTGAAAAAAATGACAGGGCTTTTCATATACAAGTAATTGGAACTTTATCGACCGTATCATATATTTCTGATAGTTTTCCCCACCTTTTCCCATATTTTCAAGCTGGAAAAAGTGACCTATTCCAGCGGCACGTCCTATCACCTTGTATATAGGAAGTGCCCCCCCCCCCCCCCCCCCACCGAGTAAAATACACAAATGTATATTACCTTAATTCAGAAGCACAGTCTGTCTTTACCGTAAATAACTTCGAGATTAATATGTAAGTTTACTTTGCTAATCGATGTTCCTGTAATTCAGATTTAAATTTATTTGTGAGACCCCCGTCACTATTTATATTCACTTAAAGAAAGGGGTTCTCCGTTACTGGGAAAATCCAAGGACGTATTGTGTTATTATACGTCCTTGGAAAATCTTATCTGATTCAGGATCAATTTATCGGTTACACTCCCCTATCACCAGTGATTCTTTGTGAACTGACATTCTGAAAAAGGTATACTGTTGACTATCAATTTGCATGATTAGTTACAGATGTCGACTCGGACTACTGCAAAAGACAATAATTCAGTTCACTGATTTAGATTGAATAGTGGTTCGGTTAATCCCCTCTTCCCCAAACAAGTAAGAATTAGGTTACATCTTTTGGTAGTCCAAATAATTATGACGTCTAGCAAGGCTATTTTATTTTTTTATGCCCCCGCCGTAGCGGTGGGGCATTTAGTTTTACCCTTGTCCGTCTGTACGTATATACGTCCGTACGTCCCAAAATTGGTTTCCGTTCTCTAATTTGAGTTTGCCTCAACCAAATGTTAAAGTAAAAACTTATACACAATGCTTATTACCACAAAACACAGATCAAGTTTGAATTTTGGTGGCATCACTTTAACCGTTCTAGAGTTATGCCCCTTTATAAATGGAAAAATTGCAAATTTTTAGTTTCCGTTCTCTAACTTAAGTTTGCCTCAACCAAATGTTATAAAACTTATACACATTGCTTATTAGCACAAAACACAGATCAAGTTTGAATTTTGGTGGCGTCACTTTAACCGTTCTAGAGTTATACTCCTTTATAAATGGAAAAATTGCAAAATTTTTATTTTCTTCTAAATATCAAGTTATTTTTAAAATTGGAATTATCTTCCTTTGTCCATTATTATAGTTGAATCAACTACAATCAATGCTTGATACAATGCAATGTTTAATTTTGACTTCCACTGATAAAACACAGATCAAGTTGAATTTGGGTAGTGTCACTTTAACCATTATTGAGTTATGCCCCTTTATAAATTGAAAGATTGCAAATTTTTAGTTTCCATTCTGTAACTTAAGTTTGCCCCAACCAAACATTATGAAACCTATACCCAATATTCATTACCACAAAACTAAGATCAAGTACAAATTTTTTGTTTCCGTTTTCTAACTTTAGTTTGCCTCAACCAAACGTTATGAAACTTATACACAATGCTTATTACTACATAATACAGATTAAGTACGAAATTTGGTGGCGACACTTTTACCATTTTTGAGTAATGTCCCTTTATAAACATAAAAATTGCTGAATTTTTCGTTTCCGTTCTCTAACTTTAGTTTGTCTCAACCAAATGTTATAAAACTTATACACAACCGTTCTAGAGTTATGCCTGTTTACAAATAGAAAAATTGCTGAATTTTTAGTTTCTGTTCTCTACTTAAGTTAGCCTCAACCAAATGTTATGAGACTTACACACAATGCTTATTACCACAAAACTCAGATCAAGTTAAAATTTGGGTAGCGTCACTTTTACCGTTCTTCAGTTATGTCCCTTTATAATTTTTCTATCTATCTATCTTCATATTTCCGCACTCAGTCACAACTTTGACTATTACGTGCCCCCAAAAAAGTTAAAATAGCCTTGCAAGACGTCATAATTATAAAAACTGTAATAATTAAAAAGAAACTTAAATCTTATTAAAAAGTTATTGCTTTTCAATGATGATTTTGATCCAGTTTTTGCAAAAACTTGGAAACTTTAAATCTTGGGTAAACTCCTTATATTATACTGCCTGGTCTCGTGGTAGCGTGTTCACCTCACGTGCAGAAGGTTGTTTATTTTGAACCCAACCGGGTAAAACCAAAGACTTTAAAGTTGGTATTTGCTGCTTCTCCTCTAAGCACGCAGTATTATTAAGGAGTAAGAGCAAATACTGGTTTGTTCAGAGTCAGAATAATGTGTCAAGGTAAGGTGACATGTCTCTCTGAGAGCTAGTGTAAGAGATAAATTGTCTGGTCAGACAAATATTACTAGTATAAAAAGTCCATGGATACAGAATTTACTAATATATTTAGTCCGATGTCAGTAATTTATGTCCCCAGACTAATTTTCCTAGTCCATGACATCACTATTCCTAGGTAAAAATGTCCAGTTTTTCTAATACTGTATGCACCATGTCAAGTATATTTGGTGTATGAAAATTTTTAAGGATGTACATGTTAGTCTGGCATGTTTTATTTGACCTTGACCTCATTTTTATGGTTCATTGCTCAATGTTATTATTTTGTTTTTTGGTCAGTTTTTCTATTTTCAAATTAGCAATAGGTCAACTATATTTGGTGTATGGAATGATTGTAAGGTGCATATGTCTGACTGAGAATTTTCATCTTACCTTGACTTTATTTTCATAGTACATTGGACAATGTTTAGTTTTTGTGGGTTTTTTTTGGATACTGTAAGCAATAACATGAATAAGGCCCCTATATTTGGTGAATGGAATAATTGTGAGATGCACATGTCTGTCTGGCATGTTTTATATGACCTTGACCTCATTTTCATGGTTCATTGGTCAATGAAAAATTTGCATTGTTTTGTCAGTTTATCATATATGCTTTAAGCAACAGGTAAATTATATTTGGCGGATGTAACGATTGTAAGGTGTGCATGTCTGTCTGGCAGATTCATATAACCATGATCACATTTTATGATTCTTTGGTCAATGCTAAGTTTTCTTGGTTTTTTATACGACCGGTCATATATTGGTATGACGTTGGCGTTGTCATCGTCCGAAGACACATTGGTTTTCGCACTCTAACTTTAGTTAAAGTGAATGGATCTCTATGAAATTTTACCATAAGGATTGATTTTGGGGGTTATGGTACCAACAGTTAAGGAATTAGGGGCCAAAAATAAGCATTTTTGTAACTTCCAGACATAACTTGTTTGTTAGTGTATGGATTTCTCTGACATTGTACCACAAGGTTCCATATCACACAGGGAATGCTGGGATTGATTTTGGGGTAATTGCCTCAAAATATTAGGAATTAGGGGCCAAAAAAGGGCAAAAAACAAGCATTTTTCTAGTTTCATGACAATAACTTGTGTGTAAGTGTGTGGATCTTTCTGAAATTGTACTACAATGTTCCATATCACAAAGGGAAAGCTGGAATTGAGTTTGGGGGTAATTGCCCAAAACGTTTAGGAATTTGGGGCCAAAAAGGGGCCAAAAATAAGCATTTTTCTAGTTTCCAGACAATAACTTGTGTTCAAGTGTAAGGATCTCTCTGAAATTGTACTGCAAGGTACCATACCACAAAGGGAAGGCTGGGATTGAGTTTAGGGGCAATTGCTTTAAAATTTTAGGAATGAGGGGGCAAAAAGCAAGATTTTTTCTAGTTTCATGACAATAACTTGTGTGTGTTAGTGTATGGATCTTTCTGAAATTGTACTACAAGGTTCCATATCACAGAGGGAAAGCTGGAATTGAGTTTGGGGGTAATTGCCCAAAATGTTTAGCAAAAAGGGGCCAAAAATAAGCATTTTTCTAGTTTCCAGACAATAACTTGTGTTCAAGTGTATGGATCTCTCTGAAATTGTACTGCAAGGTACCATACCACAAAGGGAAGGCTGGGATTGATTTTGGGGGTAATTGCCTCAAAATCTTAGGAATAAAGGTCCAAAAAGGGGCAAAAAACAAGCATTTTTCTAGTTTCAGGACAATAACTTGTGTGTAAGTGTATAGATCTTTATGAAATTGTACTACAAGGTTCCATATCACAAAGGGAAAGCTGGGTTTGAGTTTGGGGGTAATTGCCCTAAACGTTTAGGAATTTGGGGCCAAAAAGGGGCCAAAAAAACAAGCATTTTTCTAGTTTCCAAACAATAACTTGTGTATAAGTGTATGGATCTCTCTGAAATTGTACTGCAAGGTATCATACCACAAAGGGAAGGCTGGGATTGAGTTTGGGGTGATGAATCATAAGGGGGTTCAAAAAATTTGGGGGGGGGTTTCCCTTTTTTTCCTTTTTTTTTCTTTTTAATTTTCCATTTTAAATTGGTTATTTCTGATTTATATATAAAAGCAAATAATAATGATATGGTTTGAATAGGTAAATTAAAAATTTTTAAGTTCTTAGACCACATTCATTCTGTGTCAGAAACCTATGCTGTGTCAAATATTTAATCACAATCCAAATTCAGTGCTGTATCAAGCTTGAATGTTGTGTCCATACTTGCCCCAACTGTTCAGGGTTTGACCTCTGCGGTCGTATCAAGCTGCGCCCAGCGGGAGCATTTTATTCATTTTATCAGATATTATAAGCATATGTCTACTTGTTGGTGTATGGAATGACTGCAAGGTGTCATATAAAAATAAGAAGATGTCTGTCTGCCAAGTTTAATATTACTGTGACCTCATTTTCATAGAATATTGATAATATCAAGCAAAAATGATGAGCAAGACAAGATACAAATGATCCAAAATTGTCAGTTGCCTACTCATTATGTAATAGTAGTTATTGTCATTAAATGATAATGAACCTTTTATGTGTAGGGCAAGAACATTAAAGATAAAGGGAAACTATAAACAAAAGAAATTATCAACAAAAATAGATTTACAGACGTCAACAAAGCCTAAATGGTAAGTCCACTTCTATAAAAGTTATTGCCCTTGAATAATGATTATTTTGAAAATAAGATGTGGTATGATAAATGAGAAAACTATCCACCAGAGTCCAATTAAGTGGATGTAAGCAATGCAATTACTTATAAGAGGCAAATGATGACCTGTAAATAATGACAGGCAAAATATGGCAGGGTTGATATAAAAATAAGAAGCGGTACAATTGCCAATGAGACTTTTCGCCAATAGAGATCAAATGACATTAAATTTAACAAAATTATTTCACTGTACAGCCTTCGACAATGAGCAAACCCTATACTGCATAGTAATCCATAAAAGGCCATGAAATAACAAATGTAGAACAATTCAATAAGGGCATGGCGTCATTTAAAAAGGGCATGGTGTCTATCCATGCTAAACATGCTTGGGGGAAACACCACAAAGGTGAAAGCTAAGTGCCTGATTTTTGCACAAAACAATAAACAAAAAACAAATATGATATATAGCAACAATTGACAACCACTTAATAATAGACCCCTGACTTGGGACAGACACTTACAAAATGTGGCATGGTTTAACATGTTTGCTGGCGCCAAATCCTCCTCTAATTAAGGACAGTGGTGTAAGTGTCAGTTCAATATAAAAACTATAAAATCAGTTGAAAAGGGTTTTTTTCTGCTCTTGGGTCAGGTTATTTTGATACATTCCCGTTTTCATTCTCAATTTTATTAACTCATTAGAATGCAACAAAGCAGAAAAACAGCTACCAAAAACACAGACCGGATGTGGCTGGACATTTATTCTTTCCCTTTAACAAAAAAGACACAACATACAGATCTATTAGTACTCACAGTTACTGACAGCTAATTCAAAGCAAATATCAACTAATAAAATAAACATTTAGTGAGCACCCAACCCACCCCTAACCTGGGACAGTGGTTTTAATAACAGCACAACATTTGAACAAACTGTAAACATTTGTTGCAATTGGCTTAACTCAAAAGACTGCAACAAGGCACAAAAAACAGCTAATATGAAAACCATAGACACAAAGCACTGAAATAAGAGTTGTTACAATTTTAAATATTCAAATGAAATTTTTATCAAAATGTACATACGGTAAACATGATAAAATAGCCATTTTATTGCTGTATTTCTCTACATTTATAATTTTTGAGTTTTGTGTATTTGTAGGTCAGACATCTTGGTTTTCATGATCATCATTCAACAGGTCAATACTGAACAGCAAACTTAAAGTTGATATTTTTCTATATAGTGTGACTTTTTTATTAATTTGAAATGGAATGTGTTTTTTTTTCCTACATAAGAAAGAGGAAATTTCAACATAATGACTATAAACAAAAAGGAGTCATATCATCATGATCATAGATGCTCAAGAACTTAATCATGTAAATACAACAACGTAATTATCAATTGAAAGAAGGGAGGAATGAAAAAATATATCAGTATTTTGTTGTCCAAATGAACTTGCTTTGTCCACTCATTTAAATCGCTCCATCCAATAAAGATGTACCGAGGAAGATTTTTGAAGAACAGATTGCCAAAATGTTTTGTCAAAGAAATGTAGGAATATTCTAGTGAATGAAATAATTTATTTACTTGACTCTTATATAGTGGACTGAATAATTGTTCATAGCAAGCTGAAACAAGAAAATTAAACTTAACAGGAAAAGTGTTTATTTTATAAATTTACAAATATAAATGTCATATTATGAACACCACAAAGGAATAAGATTCAAATCGTCTGCATATTCATATATTGCAATGGAACTATAACAAAGAAAACTTTACCTCATGAAAAGAGTAAACTATTAACAGTGCTTTGTCAATTTATTCAGTCAGAATATGAAATATTTTTTTCAGTTCTATTTTTCATAATAAAACAAAGAAAACAAAGATTTCAAATCAATATTTTTTTCTTTTATTAAGACGTCATCATTTTATTTCAGTTAAAGGATTCTATTTTTTGACTTTGAATATTATTATATTTCCAAAATAATAATAATCTTTATTGTCATATAAACAAATTAAAAACATGTTTGTGACAAAATGAAAAAAAACAAAATACACTCATATATATATTATAAACTTTTTACTACCAAACAGAATTCATTGTAACATACACATTACTGTATATTTATAATTTGAATTCCATAGGATTTTATTTTGTTCCATGGGATATTAAAAATCCCATGGGATAATTATAGTCCCATGGGATTTTTTTTTGTCCCATGGGACAACAAATATCCCATGGGACTACAATTATCCCATGGGACCCAAAAAAATCCTATGGGATTTAACCAAAATCCCATGGGATAATGGTCAATCCCATGGGATTTGCCCTATCCCATGGGATATTGAAAATCCCATGTTTTTCTAAATCAAATTACAAAATATGTATAATAATAACAGCAGAAAAGCAATGAAATTATTGAATCCCATGTAATTCCGCACATTTTGGTTATTTACACGACACTGTAGGTCTAAGGAGAGGCGGCGGCGGATTTGCAAATGAGTGTTTTGCAAATTAAAAGTGTCCAGTGTTTATTAACCGTACCGTCCGTTTTAAAATTGTTCGTATGTGTTCCCTCCGTACTTTGTTTCTGATTATTATTGGGACAATTTCTTGCAAAATGTCCTATTTGTCCACAACTGAAACAAGGACCACCCCTTTTTCTGTTGCTTTGAGTGTTATTGGTCTTCCACCTTAGTTGGAACTTTCTTTTGGACTTTAATGCTTTAATTTCTTTTGTTAAGGACAGTAAATTATTTTCAATCGTCTGCATCCACGTCGTCATTTGTCCCATAGATACAGTCATATCAGGACTATTAGGTGCTTCTGTCCGTTCGTCACTAGTAGTATGTCGTAAGTGACCCATACGTTTCATTGTTCTACTCTCAGCCTTGTTATAAGCTTCAAGCTCAACCGCCAACCGTATAGCTTCGTTAAGACCTTTTGGACGAGACTGTTTAATTCTCAGTCTCATTTCTGAGTCTACTAGCGCATCTATAAATTGTTCTTTGGCAAGCGTGTCCCTTAATTCTAACGGAGCAGTCGGGTAGGCCAGATTAGAAAGTCTTCGAACTGACTGACCTAACCCCGGCAAAGTCTCGCTTGCCTTTTGTCGACATTCCTTGAAATGAACACGATATAGTTCAGTTTGACTAGATGGAGCAAAGCGTTCCTCCAGTGCGTTTACTAGGTCTGAAAATATTTGTCTCTTTTCCTTTGGTAAATCACCAAGAACTGCTTGAGCCTGTCCAATCAGTAAAACGGCCAAGTACAAACCTTTTTGATGTTCAGACCACATATTGACTAGGGCACACATCTCAAAGTGTGATAAGTAATCCATCCAAGGAGTATTGCCATCATATTTTGAAGGTTTGATTTTAACATCATTTGAACCATAGCTAACAGTATGAGCAGTACTTTGATTTTTTGTTAATTCCTGCTAAGGATTAATATATTGAGTTTTGTCTTGCCCTATGGATTTTCTGTTATTTACGTGAGGATTTGATATGATATCCCCATCTGGCAAAGGCAGTGTATCACCCACGGCCAATCCTACAGGTGTTGATAGAGACGGCCCTGTCGTCACTACGCCTGAATCATGTTCTTTGTTTTCAACAACCTTTGGACGTACACCCTGCTCTCGAGGTGTGGAATATATAAAACTTTGTCCATGTTGTATTGTGCTTTCACTAAGAGACTGTATTTGTCTACTTATTTCAGCAATCTGATCGTCAATATTTAACATTTCCATTGCAGTATAGTGCAATTCAAATAAAACAATTATAGTGTTATAATCTTTTATTAAATAATACACTCGTGTTACAACTCAGCCGTGAACTACAACTATGCCTCACGGTTGATCTGCTTTAATCTTTTAAATAAACACTGATGTCAACTGACAATAAATTTAATGACGATCAATCAATCAATCAAATAGTATTTGATAGACAACTTGAATCCCAACCGCTAGCCACCAAATATGTAACGTGTAACCAGGCGTTTATATCTTAAACGTCCGTTCCAGTAAATACTTGGATTCAAGCTGTCCATAAACAATACGGCAATACTATTAACTATCTATGTTATACACAATGAACTAAAATATACACACGGGCTCTTTGCCGATATAAAGTAACGACTAACAATTATATATATATATATATATATACAAATATAATACAATCTTACAGCCTGTCCTCCAGATGGGACGGTCTGTCACTAAAAGACAGTGTGGCTGGTACAGTCTGTCGATACCAGACAGTGCTGCTGGTACAGCTGTCCTCCGAGTGGGACAGTCTGTCACTACAAGACAGTGCGGGTTATATTATTGCAGTCCGTCCTCCGTATGGGACAGTCTGCTCTGCCAACTTCCTATGTTAGACCAACTTGTACCTAGTACAAGTTGTCCCCAGTACAAGTTGTCCTCGACAATATCACTTACAGCTATGTAACGTGCCTTACTCTTGTACACTGGTCTTCTTAATGAGAATATCGACAGAACCCGAACAACAACAACAAATGGAAGTTTTTAACGACCTTGACTGGATATACATCCCTCGCACGGTCGGCTCGGTGCCCGAAGGCGTTTGGTGAGCGTTTAAATAATTTTGTGCCATCGGTCAGGAACAGGTGGAGGACGCCATTTTGGTAGGCCGCCATCTTGGTTTTGTGAGTTGTTTTGGTTTTTCTTTTGTTGACTATTTTGATGTTATGTCTTCACAACGGCTGCTTTCAGGGCCAGATTGGTCAGCTTGGCAGCCCGCTAACCTCGATGATGGAGTACTGGTAGATGAGTCTCGGACGTAGTAATAACGATGACAGGAAGCATTATCAGGACCAGAGTCGTGAGACAGTGAAATGGCGGTCCATCATCTAACACCTAGGATACAGCCCTCGGACGTCACTCGGCATACCACTCCCCCATCCATAATGGGTTTTGGAGTGTATGTTGACGCGGGAATTTGCCCCTACGCGGATTATAGCCTAACGTAGTCTGTACAGCGTTGGATTGGTTTCTGTCATCGAAAGTAGTAAGTCGTTGATCCATCCAACTGTAAACCCTCATCGAAGATAGCGGGTAAAGGAGAGCTGACCCAGCACGTCCGTTCAGTTGTAATGATTGAGACGTGACTGTCTGGAATTGTAATCCTCACCCGCTTATATACCCCAGGGTGAATACAATATTTACTGGATAGGGGTGTTCTCTAAATGTTCCCGATACCGAACACAAGAATCCCTCTCAAACACCCCCATACCCTTGGACCCAACCACTGACTTTCCCGCCAAACGTCTAAATCGACCCAACGCTTCCTTCTGCGTGAAACATGTATTGATACAACAAGGTTCTTCTTGTTTGTAACCATAACGACCAATAAACATTACAATACCTTTGCTGTACATCATACAGCAAGCGGGCAGCCATATTTAACCTCTGGATAAGAACTTATCCAAACCCCCAGACACTGGACAAAATTTGTCCATGGTTAAGCTATTTTATCCACTGGACAACTTTTGAACAACCGAATTTGTCCAGTGGACAAAAGTTATCCAGTGGATACAGAATTTATCCAGTGGATAACTTTATCCAGCCTTTTGAACAACCGGGCCCAGGATGCTAAATACACAGCAATGTCCAGTCGGATTATGTACGTTAATTTCGATGCATCGTGTAGAGATATTGTAATGCTTTCTATACGTTAAAAAGCCCTTTTATCAAATCTTTGTGAGGAGTCCATAGATGGTCTGATTCAAAGCCAAATGTTGGCCCAAAAATACTCTCTTCTGGTGTCTGTCTAGATTCCCTTTCCCTCGTCCCGGTCAATCCACAATACCTACTTATTTGATTTATAATTGTTTGATTGCTCTTGTCCTAAATATGCATAATATATTTGATACAATACATCAATCAAACAAAAATCAACGAATCGATCCTATTTTGCTTATAAGACAATTAGATTGAAGAACATTATTTTGCACAAAACATAAACAAACGCATCTTGTTTTAAATTCTATATAAGAAATTATTGCGTGGCACATTTGGGTTGTAACTTGGGGGACAACTGTGGTTCCATAAGGAACCTAAATAATCCAGACTTTGTAAAGAGACAACATTTTATTGATGTTCACTATTCAAGTCAAATGTCATAACTGAACTACACGACAACACGTGCAAGATTACAACGGTGGGAAAATGCTGACATACTCATATTGCACATGGTTAAAGTAAACAGATACCAGTTTAACTTACATAAATACTTGCGGCCAAGCCTCTCACAAGCTTTGATAATAATTCCAAATGTCTGATAGCAAAATCATTCTTTATCTATATATAAATATATAATTTATAAATATTCCCACTTTAAAAATCCTAATCCTAATCGGCAAACAAAATTGATTTGTTTAAATTTTCTGTTCTTTTATGTTATCTCAACATGTGATTTTAATTTTACATGAAAAAGATGATCGTAACAGAAATATATAAGCTTGATTAATATATAAGTCTTCGAACATATG